TCGCTCTCTCCTCCCCCCTCCCCGCCCAGTCTCCATGCGCGCGAGGGGGAGGACTTGGGCCCTTCTTGTCCCCTCTCGCGCGCGTGCGTGAACAAAACGCCCGCCCGCCCCTACCCCCCCTATTGACAGGAGGGCGGGAAAAGGGGAAAGAGCATGCGCAGAGTAGGCAGCCTACCCAGAACCAGCGAAAGGAGAGAGAAACACAAGGGCGCATGTGCGCCTTCCTCCGCAGACCATTGAAGTTGGGAGCCGCGCTGGAGGATAAGGGGAGGGAGAAAAAGGAGAGTTGTGCGCATGCGTATTTCTGAAGGGGGGGGCGAAAGCTGAGTTCTGCGCATGTCCAGTTCCAACACTAAAAGCATAGAGGAGCTTGAGTCTGTCGTTGCTGGGGAGCGGCGGGTGTGTTGTAGGCATGCGCAGTACTCGACATGGCAGGGACTGTTCTGCGCATGCCGAAATTAGCATTTTATAATCCCAAACCGGAATTACAGTATTCCCGAATTACAGTACAGTATTCGTGACAAAATCTAAAATCATAGCCACAGGTTCCATCACCTCCTGGCAAATAGAAGGGGAAGATATGGAGGCGGTGGCAGATTTTACCTTGTTGGGCTCCATGATCCCTGCAGATGGTGACAGCAGCCACGAAATTAAAAGATACCAGCTTCTTGGGAGGAAAACGATGACAAACCTTGGCAGCATTTTAAAAAGCTTTTTTAACCTTGCTGAAAAAAGTCCAAATAGTCAAAGCTATGGTTTTTCAAGTAGCGATGTACAGAAGTGAGAGCTGGACCATAAATAAGAGCTGACAGCCAAAGAGAACAAACCTATCAATTCTGAAGGAAATCAAGCCTGAGTGCTCACTGGAAGGACATATCCTGCAGCTGAGGCTCCAATACTTTGGCCATCTCATGAGAAGAGAAGACTCCCTGGAAAAGGCCCTGATGTTGGGAAAGGGTGAAGGAAGAGGAGTAGGGAACGACTGAGGATGAGACGGTTGGACAGTGTCACCTAAGCGACCAGCATGAATTTGACACAACTTCGGGAGGCAGTGGAAGACAGGAGGGCCTGGTGTGCTCTGGTCCATGGGGTCACAGAGAGTCGGACACGACTTAATGACCCAGCGCTTGCCATGGAGTCCCAGGTGGCATCTGTGGTCTGTTCTGCCCACTTCCATCTTCGGCAGATTGCCCAGCTGCGCTCCTGTCTTGATGTTGGGTCTCTCACCACTCTGGTCCATGCGCTCGTCATCTCAAGAGTAGACTATTGCAATGCTCTCTATGTGGGGCTGCCCTTGAGACTGATACAGAAGCTACAAATAGTCCAGAATACAGCTGTCACACTATTAACTGGGGTGAAAAGATATCAACATGTTTCCCTTACTCTGGTGGCCTTACACTGGTTACCTATTTATTTCCACATTGATTTTAAGGTATTAATGCTTTTAAGGTTTTAATGCTTACATATAAAGCCCTAAACAGTTTAGGGCCTTGATACCTGACAGAGATCCTGTCCCCACTTAGCTCTACTCATGTCACTTCATCAAGCCAGACCGGGCGGCTGAGAGGCTTAACCCTGAGAGAGACCCGGAATGAGAAACTGGGCCTTCTCGGCGGTGGCCCCTCATCTTTGGAACACCTTACCCCTGGAGATCCAACTGGCGCCCTCACTGGGAACTTTTAAAAACAAGTTAAAGACTTGGTTCTTCCGGCAGGCCTTCCCCCCTCCCATGACATAGCTTTCTTTTCCCATCTTGAATCCTGTTTTCTTTATTGCTCTTATAGCGGCCCTGAGAGGGCTTTCAAGATAAGTGAGATACTTAAGGAGTGGTTTCACCAGTTCCACTCCCATCCGTGAGTTTCTATGGCCGAACAAGCGGAGTCCCAGTCCATCACGTCATCCACTATACCACATTAGGAATCATAGCCTCTATAGGCTCAACTGTATAAGCATTTGTTAAGGTTATAGGTTCTTCTCAAGCTATCAGCTTCTTTTGCTGGCAGACCCTTGAAAACACTTTTGGCAAAATCTTACTGGGGATTTACAGTGGCATAAAGTGTAATGGCACCAATCCTGGTCAGAAATTGCTGCTAATTACCAAGGTGCCGCTCATATTTCTGATTTGTCAACTCGTTGGGGTAGCAGGTCAGTGCCGCAATTTATGCAACTACGCTTCCACTGGTGTAAGGCCCCAATACGATTATGGCCACTCTTCTCTTGATGCGATTTACTGTTGAATTCATAACTCATGATCTTGTGGCATATGCTGTATATTTTCAAAAGCAAAACAGAAGAACAAACAGAATATATGAAAAAAAAAGACTGTAGGATCTTGTGCACATTTCGGCAAGAAATCATTATAAAAGAATTCCGTTCTGGCTTTATTAAAGATACAAATTTTATTCTATGTGAAGAAAATAGAAAAGATACTGTGATTCCCTGGACATGAATTAACCATTGGACATGAAAATCATTTCACATTAAAAAAAAAAACCATCAAGAGTTTTGATTCACGAAATATTGACTCATGGCTGACTCAGAGTTCGGCAGCTATGGAAAAACTTTGTCCATCATGTATCTAAGCCCTGGGTGAAGTTGGGTGGGAAATATGGGCCCTCCAGATTTTGTTAGCCTTCTTCATTCTAATCAATGGTCTGGTATGGTAAGAGTTGTGATTCAGCAATATTTGGAGGTGCAAAACTCAATCATTTGCATCGTGCTTCAGCATGTATCTTTTATCTTGGACAAGATATGCCTCATTGCTCACCAAACTAAAGGGTTGTAGTGCCATAACTAAAGGCATATCCCATGACACTGGATACATTAATTAATTGTGTGCCATCAATTTTGAATGAGCGACCCTTTCCAGGGTTTTCTAGATAGACAATAATGAGATGTGGTTCATCATAACCTTCTTGTGGGGGTGCCCTGGGACTGTGCAGTTGGTCCAAGGCTACACAGGCTGGCTTTTCTCCCAGGAGGCACCAGACGGGAACTGAATGTACCCCCTCAGCTGAGAACTCCCAGAAGCACCAGCTCCATTTCCTAAGAGGCAGCTAAGCCAGAGCTTGGCCTATCCTAGGTCATGAAGCCTATTTTGTCAATTTTCTGTCAATAACAGGCTTGCGGCAAATATCTGCTTCTGTATTAGTTTGTTTATCTCTTTGAAAGACCGGCAAACCTGCTCTCTTTGGCAAGTTCAGTCCATGCGAGTGGCCTGACAGTGCTAAGAAAGCATAAAACCAGAGAAATGTTTCACAACAAAGCTATACAAAACAGGATGGAGGAAAACACCCTCTTAGGCAGAAATGACAGGGGTATAATTAGATACTGTACTAGAAATGTTAAGGAGTAAATAACATGCTGTACAACAACTTACAAGCTAGGTATTAGCAAAAAATGTGTCTTTTAAAAGAGAATTATACAAACAGTCCTCCTCCCCCAACAAAACCCTTAAAAACCCCACTTTGTCTGGACTAGAAGAGGAACCTTTCCACACCATGCAATTTAAACTCTGTCGGTATATTGGCATTTTAAGTCTTTGTAAAATGAAGCAATGGAACATGTGTATTTTAAAAAGATACCAGCAGACAGAGGCAAGCAGACAAGCCAGAAGGGCTCCAATATGGCAGAAGAAAAGCAAAGTTACAGCTCCTTCTCCCCTGTAAATACTGCAGCCTAGTTAACTGATGAAGAAACGACAGATCCATTACTTCGGAACCGAGTTTTAGGAAATCTCCCATTGAACTGACTATACCCAAATGTTTAGTATGCTTTTAGCGATATTAATCCTTTCTCCCAACTCAGATCCTTGCCTTCACCCTTCTGCTTGAGTCTGACATACAGTGTTGTCCATGATTTAAAAACATACCTCTAATCTATAGCTAACACTGATGAATGAAATTTATGATCTTGGATTTACTTTGTTCCAGCTCTTAGGCTCAGCCAATGCTTGGAAATACTATAGTCTGGACTACAGCTTCCAGAATCCTGGCTGGGGCTTTTGTGAATTGTGATCCAAAAGTATTTTTTTTCAAGTTGAGTGATAGCCCCCCCCTCTCTCTCTGTCTCTCTCTCTCTGTCTCTCTCTCTCTCTCTCTCTCTGTCTCTCTCTCTCTCTCTCTCTCTCACACACACACACACACACACACACACACACACACACACACACACACAAAATTCGTCAGCCTTTTCCTTTCCTTTCCAACAGATGTTTAACTTCCTACAATCACACCTTCTCTGTGTCCATCACACAGAGCATTGATCCCAAGGATCAGAAGGGTTACACTGCTCAGTATCCACTGAAAATGTAGACCACAGTGGTGGGGAAAGACATTCAGGTTTCCAAAACTGTTCTTTGAAAATAGGAGGAAAAAGAAAAAGAAGGAATAGTTAAATCTTAATGTGTGGTCATGGCCGTGGAAGGCAAACGGCCTAACTTGCAGTTGCCTCTTGCTGTTAATTAATGAATCCCTGCTTTGATTTCTGAGCACGCTCCAGTCCAGTGGGTTGGATATACACCCAAGTCAGGATTCCTTAATTAGCAGCAAGAAGCTGCTGTGAGTTACGCTCTTTGCTTTATGCCGGCAGAAGTATGCAATTGGATTTTTGGCCAGAGATTTGGTATGCATTTGTCCCCTACAACTGAGGAGTCCAAGATCTGTCATCTCCCTCGATCCTGACATCGCTTTGCTTTGGATTTTTTCTTCTTGTCATCTGACTGGGGTTTTAATGCACACACACAAGCCGAAACCCCAGCAATCGCTTTGGGAAGATCTGTCCCTTTCTGCCACTTGTTTTTGTCTTTGTCGTACACCTGGACCATTCTGGAGAAAATGGTGTCTTCCCAGCTGTAGCCACCAAGGATGTAGATCTTGCCTTCCCACGTGGCCACGCCAGATTCACTGTTGGCTTGTAGCAAGGGTGCGACTCTTGTCCACTGGTTACACTGTGGGCTGTAAGACTCCACCCCCAAAATGTCAAAACGGGCCATCGTTTCGAGGTAGTCGTCGCTGCCGCCAATGGAGTAGATGTGATCTTCCAGGGTGCACATGCTGTGCCAGCCCCGTGCAGTGATCATTGGCCTCTTCTCTTCCCACACGTCGGTACGATAGTCGTAGCAGAGCAAGTTTTTGCGATAGGGGCCGATTTGGTAATCGTGGCCTCCCGAGATATAAACAAATTCATTGTGGACAGCACCAGCATGCCCGTAGGTAAACCTAAGACAGGAGGAAGATGAGATGGAAAGTGAAGGCAAGGCAGGAAGGAAGGTGGACATTGCCAGTTTCTACAGGGGTGGGTAGCTTTGAAGCATCCAGAGACAGTTTCCAGCCTCGGTCCCTACTCTTGGCCATGCCACACCCCCAATGAAATTACAAACCGCCAGAAGCTCGCTACTACTTCTATAATAATAGCGATATTCTTAGAACTGCGGAGCTGGAAGAGATCCTATGAACCATGGAGTCTAGTCCCTGTCAAGGAGGCACCGTAGGGAATCAAACTCCCAATCTTTGGTTCTGTGGCCAGATACTGAAGCTACTGAGCTATCCAGTGGTAAAAATCTTTTTTAAACTCTTTTTTTTTAAAATTTAAACAAGCCCAATGGAGGGTGCTTGTCTTGGTTTTTGAAAAAGTCACATATCCTAGAGTATGATTCTTCATGGTTTAACAAAAAGAAGAATACGATTCGCAGGTCTAAAGGAACAGGTAGGGTGCCAAAGGAGGCTTCTTTTAAACATAATAGATTAATACTCCAAATTGGTTTGGTTTTTGTATACTCTAACATTGTGGATCAGGCTCCAGATCAGAACTACAGAGTCTTGTGGTGGCTTGAGAGTACCAAAATAATTTTGACAATAGGTAAAAGTGGGCACTAGGCTCCCTAATAGGTTGGCTTGGATCCAAAGAGCTACCTAACAATATTCCCCATCAGGGATCCTGAGGCCCTGTTCCGACTTTGCTCAGTATGTTGCTTCCTATGTCCAAATGCCTAAGCTTCTCCTGAGCAGAAACTCCCACCGGTGCAATGATGCAGGATTAAATTGCTTGTGCAAGCACTGGCCTTGTGCAAGCAGGGGACATTGTGTAAGCTGTAGTGCCTAAGTAGGCAGCCTGGGGCTGAATGTAACTCTTGGATTAATTTCAAAATTTCTGCAAGAAATCAGCTGCAAGCAAGCTATCCCCCTTCCAGGTAGCTTGCTGGATGAAAAAGGAAAGGAGATGAGAAGACCCTGTAAGAGTCTGTGTGCTTCTCACTGCCCCTTTCTTCTTGACATGCCATCATCACCTTGCTAGTATTAAGTTTAAAATAGTGGGTTCTACACTATGCAGTTATATCAGTCTGTTAACATTGTAAGTGCATCGGACCCATCCTATGAATTCCTCCTGTGTGTGGTTTGGTGAGGCAGTCAGAATTCTGCGCTATAGTTCAGGGGAGAAGACTGAAGCTCTCCAACAGAGAATTCCAACTTCACTAAACTATACATCCTAGGATTTTTCTGGTGGTATATACAGCTGTGTTGTGTGGATTTGTTATATGCCATCAAGTCAGAACTGGCTTATACTGATCTGTTCTCAATGACCCAGAGTGCAAGACTTGTAATAATGGGCTCGAGTGACAGGAAGTCAGATTTAGGCTGAATATCAGGAAAAACTTTTTAACTGTTAGAACAGCACGACCATGGAGCCAGTGACCTCAGGAAGTCGTGAGTGCTCCAACGCAGGAGGCCTTCAAGAGAAAATTGGACAACCATCCGTCAGATCTGCTTTGATTTGAATTCCTGCATTGAGCAGGGGGTTGGACTCGATGGCCTTACAGGATCCTTCCAACTCAATTATTTGATGATTCTAATATGGCTTTCAAGGGATTCTGATATGGCTCCCCCAGGGAGTTTCCATAGCAGAGCCAGAGAAATGAACCCAGGTCTCCTGAGCCCCAGTCCATCACTCTATCTACTACACCATACTGAGTATCCATAGTGCAGATACAGACTGAGTACAGTGGTGCCTCGCTAGACAATGATAATCCATTCCACTGAAATCACTGTTTAGCGAAAACATCATCTAGCGAAAAGCATTTCCCCACTGGAATGCATTGAAACCTGTTTAATGTGTTCCAATGGGGAAGAATCGTCACTGTCTAGCGAAGATCGGCCATAGGAAAGCCGCTTTGCGAACTGCCAATCAGCTATTTAAATAGCTGTCTTGCGAAGCTTCGGTCCGGAAAACACCCGTTTTGCGCGTGTGGAGGTAGCTGTCAAAATCGTTGTCTAGCGAAAATCGGTTTGCGAAGCAGGGACCAAACATTGTCCAGCGAAATTCCCCCATAGGAATCACTGTTTTGTGATTGCTATAGTGATCGCAAAAAGTCAATGTCTAGCGGAAAAACTGTCATGTGGGGTAACTGTCTAGCCAGGCACCACTGTATTTGTTTAAAAGCCAGGAAGATCAAACGGTGGTTTCCGTGGCATGAATCCCATGACACCAAATGATTTCGTCAGACACCCCACTGTTTTTACCTCGGCAGGCCTGCCACATAGGACCACGCATCTTTTGCTGGGCTATAGATCTCAACCGACGAAAGGGCCCCGTTTTCATTCCGTCCACCAACAGCCAACAACCTGTCTTCGGCGGCTGCCAGGTAGAAGTCCACTCGACGTTGCCTCATGGAGGCAAGCTGAGAAGAAAACAGGCGGAGGGGGCATTACAACATGCAAGTCAACTTCTTTGAGTCTCCATCCATCCCATAAATTGACTACTGAAGCGTATTGGATGGAATGACTCTCCCACAAAATAGCTACCTATGCCATCCACTCCTCAAAGTCCTTGATGTGAAGAATTATAACACCCATGGAGGCAAAAAAAATAAAAATAAAAGCCAACACAAGGAACTGAACTGTCTTGGATGTGGCCCTTTCCCTCTGAAATAAGTTTTCTATTTGGTTGGCCAGGCACCATCCCTCTCAGCTTTTAGGAAGCTAATTAAGACGGACTTATATAAAGCCGCCTTCTACTAGTGGTGAAAATTGACTTGAGAAAATTGACCTGCTCAAATGGGTTTTCATTTGTAGATTCCTATTTAAAGGTAGGTTTGTTGTGGGCTAAACTGCAGAAGCCTTTGTGTGCTGCAGGATCAGAAGGCCAGCAGTCGTAAGATCGCATCCACGCGACGGAGTGAGCTCCCATCACTTTGTCCCAGCTCCTCAACAACCTAGCAGTTCGAAAGCATGTAAATGTGAGTAGATAAATAGGGACCTTCTCGGCGGGAAGGTAAAATGGCGTTCCCTAGTCACGCCGGCCACGTGACAACAGAAAACTGTCTTTGGACAAGCGCTGGCTCTATGGCTTGAAAAGCGGGATGAGCGCCACGCCCTAGAGTCGGACACGACTGGACTGAAAATGTCAAGGAAAACCTTTACCTTTACCTTTGTTGTTTTATATTTTGTCGTTCTTTTATAATATTTGTTACACGGTGTTTTAAATGTATGTGTTTTTTTAATCCTATGTTGTGAATCAGGGTTGGCCCCTCGGCAGCCCTTCTGGCCAATAGCAGGTGACAGAGCTATTTATTTGGCCCTTAGCAAATTTTAGTCATTCATTAAAGAAAAGAACACTTTGTTAAAAAAAGATTACAGAGAGAGCGATAGAGACAGAGAACTCATAGTGTAATTTAAAAAGCTTGTTTGGTTCAATTACACTCCCCAGAATTCCTCAGCCACCACAGGCATCTGGGGATTCTGGGATTGTAATCCAAAAAAAATAATTTTCCTAAACTCTTGGACAACAGAGGTGGACTAAGCAAATTTTCGGAGGACACGACTGTCTGTTCCTCTTATCTATGGTAGCTAAATCAATTCTCCATGCTAAGAAACAGTATACCTCTACTAGCTGCTGCCCTTCATGGCCTGTTTTTATGGGCCTCCCAGAAACAGGTCTTCCCAATATCTACTGGGGGAAGCTGGATGATATGAGCCAGTTGGGGTTTCCTTATGGGATTTCACACACCACATCCCTTCGCTCTGTGCGTTTCATCAACGGTGAGAGTCATGGCCGAAGCCATGTACCTCATCACTGGGAAACCCCTTACTCCTAGGTGGCATTGATTTCTCCCTACAGCAAAGATGGAAAACCTCTTTCAGGGCTTTGCAGAGATTTTCACAGAAGCGGTTGGGCTTTCCTTATTCCAGTGGTGGGTGGTTCCAAAGGCTGGCACAAGCAAACACCAAATTGATGTAGCTTACCACTCTTGCGACTAGTAACTGAGAAAGGTTTAGACAGTTAAGCCTTTCAGAACGCAGGAAATGAACACAAATTGGGGAAACCACCGATCAGTGGTGTCATATGAAAAGGGCTTTAGATACATGGGGAACTCCAAACAATTTATTGTTTATTTTATTTATTTATTTGATTTATACCCCGCCCATCTAGACCAATGGTCTACTCTGGGCAGCAAATAATAAGAGCAGGAAGAACCTACCCTCACTTCCCTCTCAAAGGCTGGAGTTGCACTCAAGGTCTGGGGTTTTACACTCCTTATGGCTTAGCATATGAGACTGATTTATTCTTATAAGCTATATTTAAAAAATCTGGCATATTTATACAACTTAACACAGAAGTGTGTTTGTGCAGGAAAAATACACATCTGTGACTTCTCATCAATTGTCAGGAAAACAGATTGCGGCTGTCCCCTCCCCCCCCAAACAACCCACTGAACAGAAGTTAGTCATATCAGATGGCGTTATCTTTCTGATCCAGAAATATAAAAACAAGAGAAATCAACAAGGATGGCTTCAACAATAGGTGTAATCCTTCCGGGTAAATGGGGATCGCTCCCCGGTCACACTTAACTTTTCTCTCTCAGCACACAGAACAAGAACATCAAGAGCTCATAAATTGAAGCCCGTTGATTCTACAGGAGACAACCCAGTTTCAAGTCATTGCCTCTTTTTATCTCCATGAGGGCTAGAAACCATTTATTTTCCATTAATCTGACGGCTTTCCTTCATATCACAAGAGACTATGGATTTCACACTGGGAGGACCTATTCGATGGTTCACAACATGACCATTACTTTCCTTTGGGATTTTTAAATACCGTATTTTTCCATGTATAAGACCCCCATGTATATAAGACCCCCACTTTTCTAACCCAAAATTAAGAAATCTAAGTGGGGCTTAGCAAGTGTAGGGGGAAAGGGATCAAAGCACTGCAGGATCGCTTTGATCCTTGTTTTCTCCCCTCATGCTAAGCCCCGCCGGG